TTATGGCCCTATTTACCTCAGTTGAACCATTAACTCTGAAGCCTAATACAAATAAAATGTCAATATTACATAGGGTTTAGCACAGACATTCCCTTCCTTGGTTCTTGGTGGAGTTGGGGATGTGAACAGCAAACCTCTTCCCACCGACACCTCTGCAGCCTTTAGCTACAGTGATCTGGTTTCTTTTGAGCTTTATCAGCAAAGTTTTGGTTGTCAGTTGGTAGCTGGGTATTTCTCGAGCATTACTGTGCTTCCAGCTCTAGCCCCGGCTCGGCAGCAGTTCTGCTGGGTGAGCTGTTCCCAGCCTGGCCTGCAAGTGATGCCAGAAATGATCTTTGCTGGGACCCATCTCTTGCTCAAGTGAGCCAGAGATAACCAGTGTACTGTGAATCTCAATGTAAAGCAAGCAAAGGCACTCAGCAGAGCTGGCTCCTTGCTGTGGTTCAGGAGTGCATAGGGATCCCAGATTTCTGATAAAGCTGGAGATATGATCTACAAGCGCTAACCCTGTAAGTCTTAGTTTCGGTCTGACCTGTGTAAGGGAGCTAGATACCTTGGCAGATACAACTTCTATTTCTTGGCCAAAAATGCAGTTCCATTTGGGAAATTCACTGACCAGAAGTGGAGAAATGGACCAAAGAGGGTTTTGGGTTTGGGTTCCTCTGTGCTAGCCCTGCTGCTGGGCAGCGTTTTGCAACCAGAGGGTGGGAACTGGGAGAATGTCCCAACACATGGCATTGGGATACACTGTTGGGTCCTCCTTGGTGCCCTGCAGTTCCAGCCCCTGTAGGACACCTTACATGGGCAGTGTGTTCCTATAGGGGTTGCACTGTGTCAAGTGGAAGCTTTTGGAGTTCAGGGCTGTTGGTGTGACTCGAACACGAGCATCTCAAGAATATTCCTTGCTTGCTGGAAACTCGCTGTAAAACGATTCCTTTCTTGTCTCCCTTTTAGTGCCACCAACCATCAGTGTCCCTAAGGGTCAGTCCACAATCACTGTCCGGGAGGGCTCCCGGGCTGAGCTGCAGTGCGAGGTTCGAGGGAAGCCCAAGCCACCCATCATCTGGTCACGGGTAGATAAGGAAAGCCCCATGCCTTCAGGGACCATGACGATGGAGACGTACGATGGGAAGCTGCGCCTGGAGAGTGTGAGCCGAGAAATGAGCGGGACCTATAAGTGTCAGACAGCCAGGTACAATGGCTTTAACATCAGACCCCGGGAAGCCCTGGTGCAGCTCAACGTGCAGTGTGAGTATCACCGTGCAGCGCCGGAGCGCCTGTCCGAATGCCGCTGTACAGAACAGCCTGTGGGCTAAGCAGGGCTGACACCCTCAGTGCTGCTGTCGGGCAGGGCTGACCTTTCTTAGAGGGCTGAGCAGACACCTCTCTCTTGTCTGGGGACCTTTGAACAGTTTGTATTTAACTGGTCTGGCTACGCAAGGCTAAGGGCAGGATTCCGTATGGCCGGCGTGTTGCAGGTGGAAGGGAGAGGGGGCTGTGTTTCCACGCCGTGCTTTCCATTTCCCTATCAGCGGGTGAGGGCAGAAGGGCAGCTTTACCAGGCGTGTGTTTGTGCGCATTACATAGGTGTAGGTACCTGCAGGATATGTCAGTGAGTTTGTAAAGTCAAGCACTCAAAAGGCAGCAAGCGAAGCAGGGTAGGTTTAGACTGGATCTATGGAAGAAATTCTTTCCACTGAGGGTGGTGAAACCCTGGCAGGGGTTGCCCAGAGAGGGGGTGGAGGCCCCATCCCTGGGAACATTGCAGGCCAGGTTGGCCGGGGCTCTGAGCAACCTGATGTGGTTAGCGGTGTCCCTGCTCCTGCAGGGGGGTTGGGCTGGATGGGCTCTAGGGGTCCCTTCCCACCCAAAACTTTCTGTGATTCTATGAATGTTAATTAGACCGTTCCCACCGCACAACCCTTTTTTCAACTTAGTTACCCCAGCTGTAATTTCTGGACATGCCTGAACTATTTTGCCTGAAAAGCGGTGCTAGGCAGACCCTAACAGGGACTGCATGCTCCCAAAGGGTTTCCATGCCAGAAAGCTGTGAGGAGCAGAAAACTGATTCTTAGCGTGTGGTGTATCGAGTGATTTCAGTGATGAGTTGTGCTCCCAGCCCCGCTTGAAGGCATTACCTGTGCACAGCGGTGAATATAGAAGGGGGGGTGCTGCTGGTGTCCACGTTGGGTGACTCTCTCCATCCTTTCCCTGCAGTGGTTTCTCCCTCCAGAGGAGAGGGCGCCTGCTCATCTCCAATGCTTTTGAGGCATGCGGGGGTCTGTGCTGTCACCTTCAAGACTTTGAATTAGACAGGAGGAAGGCAGCTGGGTAAAAATGCCTTGGTCTGGAAGGAGCTGTGAGTGTAGGGGTAGCCCTCCCTGCAGACCTTGTCCCATTGGGATAGCGTGATGGCTGAACCCCTGCAGAGTCCTCGGAGCAGCAGTGGGATAGGTAGGGAGCAGGTTAATTTGCACCCGGGCGTGCTGCCTCTGGGCTGGGACTGATGAGCCTCCACGGGCAGCGCTCGGGAGACACGCTGCCACCCTCCTCCCAGGATCACTCCCTGGGAAGATGGGAAGTGAGATGGGAGCGGATAACCTGGCTGAAGCCAACCAGGCACCCGGCTCACAGCCGTGAGCTGCTGGGAGCACAGCAGTAGCGGAGGTCTGCAAAATCCTGCAGGCACTTGGAGTATTCAAAGATCCCCTTTTAAAATTATCTCTGTCTGTTCAGGAGCATGGCAGAAATTAAATTACAGGATGGGGACAGGGAAATGTGTGCAGATTTCCGTGCAGGTAAGTATGCGTGGAGAAGCTTCCCTTCAGCAGGGTGGAAATGGTCATCTTGGCTTAAGCTGTTTCGGAAGGCAGGCTGGGTCAGGTGTATGGGGCCTGGCAGAACATGGCAGGGAGAATGACTCTTGGTCACCCCAAGAAGTGATGGGAGATGCAGCAGAATCTCACCCGGGAGCAAAGAACCACCAGACCTGCTGGTGTCCCCAGTTTGGTGTTGGTGTTTGAAAGCTGTGTGGTCCTCACTGACCCTCACTCCCCCTGCAGAGGGAGCAGCAGTGCCAAGCCTGGGATGAATTCAGGCTTACTGGGTGGTCTGGAGGGGGACCACAGACCCTGAGTCGTGGGCTGGAGGGGGAGGACATTACTCCCCACACCAGAAAGATGGTAGGTACAAGCCAGAAGCTGCTCTGGGGAAGAGCTTTTGATGTGACCCCCAAGAAGGCAAAGGTGTGATGAACTTCTGTGTAAAGAGCCGCTCAACATACTCTTCCTGTAGCTCTTTCCGAGGCCAAGCAATGCTTTATTGAGATCTTACCCAAGTAATGGTGGCATGGTCCTTGTGGAAGCCCACCCAAACAGCCCTCTTCCCCATCAGTTCTGTGTACCCTCAGTTGAAGCTGGGTGCATAGTGAGTGTTCATACACCTGAGCTGTCTCCTCCTGCCTGGAAACTGTGGAAGGACCCTACGGTGGCACTGCCTATTCTGGGCCTGAGCAGCCAGCTTTGGGTTCAGGCTGGCAATTTGCTCCTTCCATCAGCGTGAAAAACAAACTGCAAGCCAAGAAAGTAGGGCGAGAATTGCCCTCATCCCCTTTGTAGGCTCCTCCCTCCCCCACCCCACCCCCCCATGCAAAAAAAATCCCAGCAAACACCACAGTCCCTGTTTATCCCTCTCCTCCTTGTTCATGCTGCTGGAAGGAGGTGGGGGCTGCGGCGGGGGCCGCTGTGGTTAATTGAAATGCTGCTCTCCAGCGTGGGTAGCTCATTAGTCTGGTGGCTTGCTCTGGAATTCTCATCTTGTCGGAAATGGGGATCGTATGGCTCCTGCAGCCTCCGTGATGAGCGCTACCCCCGCCTCCCCCAGCCCGCGCATCCCCCCGGAGACCCGCTTCGGTGGGGTGCGCATCCACGCGGGTGTGCGGGGGGTGTTGGGGGGGGAGGCTGGTGTGCCTCTTCATGTGTCGGCGTGAGCTCCTTTTGAACTGGCTCACTCAAGGGAAGAGCGAATTCTGGGTGATAATGTGGTTGTTTCTCTGATTTGCTCCAAAGCTAAAGTTGCAAAATCAATACAGCAGATCTGATTAGATGTCAGAACCTGTTCCCGTGCTTCTCTTTTCTTTTCTTTTCCTCCCCTCACCCTCATGCATATAGTGCTGTGTTGTAACAAACTAGCCCAGAAATAGGCTTTGCCAACTGCACTGCAGCAGTGGAAAGAGAATAAGAAGACAAAAAGAACAAGTCAGCTGTCAAAAAAAAAAAAAAAAAAAAAAAGTGTTTGGGCTTTTTATTATTTTTTTGTATTTTGCAAGCAGAAAAAAGTTGCTCTCCTTTTATCTTATGAGCTGTAATTGTCTATCATCAGCTCTCTGACAGGCTGGATGGTCGGAACTGTAGAGCTTTGGAAGATTAATAAGTTCATGAAAGTCCTTGCAGCCTTATAGCTATGTGGTTAGGATCAAGAAATGTTGTGTACTGGGTAGAGCGAGAGATTGGGCTTGTCAGAACTCCTAGAAATCTGGCTACCACTTGGAGTGGCGGTGTCTTGTCCTCTTCTCCTCTGCCTTCGAAACAGGAATAAACCTGACCCATCCCTTCAAGGGTTCATGGGGCATAATAAACATAGCACTTTGGAATCTTGACATAAAAAGAAGTAATGGAAGGGCAGAGTGCTGTTGTTAATGATATCAGTGCTGATGCTGTTGTCACGGCTTTTTTTCAGGACCAGGTTCTTGCTCAAAAAAAAATCCCAGCAGAAAAATGAATCCTCTGCAGAGGTGGGTTTAAGATCAGGGCTGGGTCACCCTGCGTAGGTGAGGTAGCATAAGGCTGTAAAACACACAGTGGGCTTGAAAACGTGCAGCCCTCTGGGTTTTGGAACACAAAGTGTCATTCGAGCCAATACATATGAAAGGAGGAAGGAAAGAAGGTGGGCATGTGTGGCTCAGTGGAAAGGATGCTAGCTAGGTAAAAGCTTAGCAAGTACGTAATAACAAATTGCAAAAAATATATTAGCCACATATCCTAAAAGCCTGGTCAAAACAGCATTTCCATGAATTGCAAAGATTAGTAGTGGCTGTTGCTAGAACTGGCCTTTGAGATGACTGCTTTATCACGGTGAATATTGCATTTGCTCCGTCAGAGCCTCGTATAACAGCGTGGGGTAAATTGCAATCCTAGTGCGTTATCCTGCTTGAATGACACTGCATCAGCTCTGATGCTGTGTCAGTCCCCAACAGCAGGTCAGAAGCTACTGGCCAGCTCAGTCAAAGTCCATGTCAACCCTGCACTCCTCGTCGCACCTGATCCTTGACACATTTGCTCCAGTATTTTCCCACAGGTAGGTTTATCCTCCCTCACAGAACTCACTACTTGCTGTCTCAGACCCTTGCTTGATCACCTGAATGGGTTCACCCGCTTTGGACAACCACCAAAGCCTGGCAGCAGACCACCCATCTCCTCTGTTGAGAGATGTTAATTAGGTCACCAAATTCTGATCATTGGATAAGCACTTTTGCTGGTGCCATTCTTGTCTTTGGCAGCAGTCTTGGTGTCTCTAAGCACCCAGAGGATGAAGGAAGAGGAGATATTTACATAGAGTTGACCTTGTTTCGGGTAGTGAAGTCTGAAAGGTGATCCTGTTTCTCACCTTTGGGTCATGCAGTAGGTGAGATCTTGGCAGGAAGAAAGACTAGAAGAAAAATTAACCTGAGTGTCTCCTTCCCTGGAGTAACGTGGTCCGTGAATTTGGCCCCTTCTGGATCCAAAATAACAATCCACAGTCATCTGGGATTGATCTCCAAAGGATTACGCTTATTGTCCTTAGGTAGAGTTTTGCCACGTCAAGCAGCAGGTGGATTATTGGGCTTTATCTTCAAACCGTAGTGAATATTAGGTGTCATCGGGAAAGCAGACTGTCGTTCCCTTTGGAGGGGCAGTTCCCGTGGTTAACAGGACGTCAGGAGCCCTTGCACAGTCCTAGGCATAGGCATTGCCCCAGGGCCGGTGGCCGGCAGGTCTGGCTCTGCCCTGACCTGGAAGGCAGCCAGAATACGTCCTGTGGGGGCATCTGTTGCCTTCATCGCTTAAACTAATGTTCAGGTGGGCACAGATATGTTTTCCTACTCAAGCTCACACGCTGGCAAATGTTATTCCTGGTCACACGCTGTTGACTCATTCCTCTTTAAAATCCTGCCGAACCCATTGGCAATGCTGTACATCAGGCGGGCAATA